TTCACGGAGCGCTGCAGAACAGCTAAAAGTACAAGCTAGCTCTATCAACATTGACATGGAGACATCTCAGCAACGTAATGGCGTGTGGAAGAGGCAAGTCACAGACCGAAAAGGATGGGGGAAACTCAGTTCTACCTGTAGTATTTTATTTCTTTGGTTAAAATATATTTGAAAGGAATAAAAAAATATTGACAAATATCAATTCCAAGTGAGGGGGAAACAGGAGCATTTGACATAACTGTTCTCAAGACTTTGTAGTAGGTTTTTTAAAAATCCTCAATTGAAAGAGGCAGGGGAACTGATGTGCAGAGATTTCCAAAATATACTGGATAACAGATTATTTTTGAGCAGCTTCCAAATTTGGACTCACTTTTCCCCATGCAGCGGTTCATATTACTGGAGCTGGCTCGCCTTCTCTTGTGAACATTGTTTTAAAGTAGATGAAATATCAAGGAATTTTGGAAGTCCTTATTTTTAGCCAGTAAAATGAAAAATTTCCACAGCATGTAAAAGAAGTGCTCGAGTCGAAGCCTGCCTAGTTTGCTCCACCTAACTATGATCACATCAAAAACTTTTGCAAGGCTATTCTGGGCCTGGGGTGCGGAGGTGACTCACTGTGTCCCTCCCTCGCCCCATCCCCCACGTGTTTATTCAGGTGAAATCAGATTAAAATGAACATCAAGGACAGCTTTGGAAGGGAAGAGAAGCCAGAGACTCTGAGAGACCCCGAGAGACTGCCTTAAACCAGGTGTGATGAGAGTCATATGGGTGACATGCTGGCTTCTTAATTAGGGTCAACCACAATTTACTGAGGACCCATTTCCCAGGAACAGACTAGTTTTCACAGGCCTTCCTGTGTGTTCCTGTGAAGGAAGCATTTAGGGTGAACATTTACAATATTTTTTTATGTGCTCTCTCTCTTTTTGTTTTGTTAATCCTCACCTGAGTATATTTTTTCCATTCATTTTTAGAGAGAGTGGAAGGAAGGGGGGGGCGGGGAGAGAGAAACAGTGATGTGAGAGAGACACATCAACTGATTGCCCAGCCAGACCGGGGCCGGGGATTGAACCTGCAGCCCTTGACAGGGATTTGAACCGCAACCTTTCAGTGCCCGGGATGACACTCTGACCACTGAGCCACACTGGTCAGGGCTATGCTCTCTTTTTGATAACTGTAAAAATCTCATGCCTGGTTTTAATGTTATCTGAAATGTTAAACTAAATAAAAGTATGTGAATAAAAGCAGATCAGATATGCCCCATACCTGGTTGAGAATCTCTGCTCCAGGCTAAAGTGCCAGGACTGCCCTGAAACTCCCTGGTTTTGGTCAAATCTGTATTTGAAGCCTGACCTGACCACTCATAGGCTTTAGACTTCAGGTGACCTTCTTGCCTTCTCTCAGCTAGTATCCCCTTCTCTGAAAAGGTGATTTTGACACCTGCCACTTGGGGCTGCTTTGCAGATTCTGTGAGGCACTTAGCACTATTGCCAGTAACTTAAAAAAAAACACCAACAAACAACAAAACCCTAAAAACTTTAATCTGAAGTATGGCCTTGGGAAGTAGGCTATCCCCCTTTTGCTCCATTTTATAAACGAGACTACTGAGGCCAAGACACACCATTTAGCAAGTTACTTCACCTAATTGCAGAACAGGGCTAACTCCCAGGTCTTGTGTGACCAGGCCAGGCCCCTTTCACTGTGCCAGCCCTGGCCTAGTGTCTGCATGCAAGCAATAGATCTAGAGTCTCCTTCTCCTCTGTCGTGAGTGATCTGGCTTATGTGGCTCCCCAGGATCCTGGATCGAATCTCCTTAGCACTTGTTAAGTGAGTACTATATCCTTCTTATGTGTCTGTCAATTGGGCTGTAAGCTTAATTTCAGAAGAGACTGAGCCTCCTAGACTTTCTCAACAAGCCCCTGGCCTCCGAGGAACAGGTTGAATTCCACGTGAGAGGCTTTTAATGGAGACCCTCCCTCCATAATCTCATTGCAGCTCCAACTTTTACCATCCAACTTTTATCAGCGACACACACACACACACACACACACACACACACACACACACACAGAATCTAGACTTTCCTATCTTCCCCTTGAACCCTTTATCTTTGTGCCCTTTCTCAAGTTGCTAAACCTCTCAGCCTCAGTTTCCTCACCCATAAAGTGACCCTACATGTTGTGGGTCAAAATAAAATGAGATGTTATGTAGGAAAATCCTTTGTAAACTTGGAGGCACTTTTCCTCTCTCACTCTCTCACCTACCCCCCAGCCTAAACTCATTCCTTCCTCAAATGAGCCAGAGGACTGTGTCTTCTGTTCCCAAAGCATTTCTCAGAGACCTCCCCAGCTGCCTCCGCTGAGAGGGAACTGAATGGTCCCACATTCGATAAAGAAGAAATGGCATCGTGCTGAGGAATTCACTGAGTCTAGCGCTTGTTAGATAAAACGGTTTACTGGCTTGTAAGCTAAACTCACACCAGGAGATCTAGAATCTTCTCTCTTACCAGTTTTTAGCAATGAAATTTTGGTCGAGTTGCTTAATGTAGCTGAGCCTCGGTTTCTTCATTTAAAGAAATGTGGTAGTACTTGCTTCATTGGGTTATTGTGCCAAATGAGGACACATGATTGTGGGCAGTCAAAGCATGCGACTTTTATTTGTCTCTCCCTTCTGTTTACCCTTTAAAACCTCTGTGCCTCTGCTTGTTTTTCCATGAAAGGGGGACAATAACACCTGGCCTGCCTAGCTCACAGGGTTGCTGTGTGACTGGAATAAAGGCTGCGGTAGGGGTAGGGCTTTGCAGTGGTGGCATGTAGTATAAATACCAGTCTAGGGTTATTCTCGGGATAGCTGGCCGTGAGCTGATGGGTGTGCTGGTCTCACAGGCCTGAGTTGTTGTGTGCAGTGGCTACATGTAGAAGGTTGCTTAACATAGCTTCTCCTCCTGCTCTTCCTGAGGCCCCTGTGCTCTCACATCTACCTGCGGTGCTCTGTAGCCTCCTCACACCCGTCACTCACATGCCTCGCCCTCCTCTGTCTCTCTGTCCCCTCTGGATCGAAAGGCACAGGACCATCCACTTACTGCTCTCTAGATGCAATAACCATGGCTCCAATCTTGCTGACTATCAAGAACGCCCTGTCATATGACACCCCACCCCTTAGCCTCATGAATAAATACTTAAAAGACTCATTATGAGGAGATAAGGAAAACAGGAAGTGTCCCTAAAATCCACCATCCCAGCCACCAGAGGCCACCAGCATCTTTAGCAGCCAAGCTACCAGCCTGCTGTGCACTTGAGAAAGAGCCCTTGTGTCTTGGACCTAGAGGCGTCCACAGGTAAGGCTGGAATGGAGGCAGGAATAGGAGTCCGGGATTCCGGAGGGCAGGCCACAGAGGCAGGGGGACAGAGCTTCTCTGTTCTGGGCACAGTTTCAAGGCCAGCTGCAAGGAGAACAGGCAGTCACTGTGTGCCTGCAGCTGGCAGTGGCTAGGCCAGGGCTGTCCTTCACTTAGGGTATATTTAAAGAGAGCCCACTAGATGGTCATGCCAATAGGAAAAATGCACAGTCTGGTAGCCACACCTTCAGCACTCTCCTCCTTCGCTGCAGCTTCCAGGCAATGGATTTATGTATCAACAGAGGATGGCTGGCTCCTTGGTCTCTCCAGGTGTAGGTGGTACCACCTGGGGACAGAACCCCAGCTCTTGGGCCTCTCTGCCCTCTAACTGAGCTGGCCAAAAGTTCAGGGGATTAGTGGGATTGGCTCCTCCCACCCTGGGGTTGGTAACCCAGCAACCAGCCAAAGGGGAGAGGCAGACAGATGAGTCAAATGCAAGCCCAGAATCTCTGGCTTTGTGTTTTGTTTGTGAACACTCCCTGTGAGTGCAGACTCCCTTCCGGCTGGAAGTGGTGGGGCTTTCCCACACTGCTTCAGGCCAAATGCTCCTCCTTATAGGGATGCCCAGGCCCAATTGCCCGCTAAGGCAGGCTTAGGGACAAAGCCAGTGGGCCAGGAGGAGCCCATACTGGCTGAAGACAGGCCTGAATCCCATGGAAAGGTGGGATTGGGAGCTGAGAACTATGGGTAAGGGAACCAATGGGCCTGAGGTCCTGCAGGGGAGAGACTGAGCTGGTGTGCATAGAAGTTTGGGCTTTTAGGTGGCCCGAGACCAAGGAGACCTTATCTGAGCAGTGAGAGGACTTCACCAGAGCAATCCAGCAGAAGTGGGGTGAGTGGGTGGGAGTGGGCAGCTTATCAACCCGGGAAGGGAAGCCGACGGGCAAACCGTCTGAGGCAGGCAGGCTGCTACAAGTGCCGGAAGAAGTCAGTAAATCACGAGTGCACCAACAGGATCAGCTACATAGTTTGAAGGGCCCAGTTCAAAATGAAAATGCAGGGTCTTTTGTTAAAATATTATCAGGAATTTCAAGACGGTGACAGAAGAGCATTCAGTGGAGGGCCCTTCTGGGCGACCACACAGGTTGCACCCCTGAAAAGCTAACACAGGGCACCTATAAGTTGGCTACTTGGAACAGCTTTGAAAGCTGAGGCAGGTGAGCTGGGGGATGTCTGGTCTCCTTTGGCCTTAACTCCCTCTCACCTCTGCTGCCCTGTGGTCACCAGTTCTCAGACTTTTATTGGGCTTGGGACAGGGCCTGTACCCCAGCAGCAGGTCTTCTCCCTGTGCTCGCTGCAGCTGTCTTTGCCTCTCTGAAAAGAGGGAATTGCAAGGCCACAGTGGGAAGAGGGCTGAAGGCAGGAATGGATTGTGGTTCTTTGGGTCACTGCGTCTCAGAGCCCCAAGGACTCCCTGGACAGGCCAAGAAAGGCCGGTGCAGCAAGTGGAGCCGCCTCTGAGTGACGCTGCAGAAGATGGAGGTACAACATATGGACTACACTCTGGATCCCCAATTAAGGACCCAAGGGGACATGTCCTGAGGAGGGGTGTGACAGTTGAGCAGAGCCAAGGTCCAGGAAGCCTTCTCCCCACTTGGGAACTTACCTCCAACTCTATGTGGTCGTGGAGTTTCTTGCAGGTGGCTGCAAAGGTCTCCGAGGTGCCAAATTCAAAGTACCACAGCTTGTTCTTCATCCTGGACCATGAAGCAGAGACATGGCTCAATATTCTGTATTTGAAATGTCATGTAAAACAGCTATATCACTGGGGCTGGGAGGCCCGCATTCCCCAAGCTTCTGTTTTCAGCCCTTGTTAATTAGATGATCAGGGAAAGAAATTTTTTACCAACTGTTCTTGCTACTAACTTAGAGGAAAAACTCATTCATTCCTTAGGCAGCATGGCTACTCTGGGTGAACTGCCAATTGGTCTCTGAACTTCCTGATCAGAGTAGGAGAAAGGCCTGTTTGCCTCTGTATCTGGACCAAGGGAAGAGTTCCATGAGAATCAACCAGTGGTGGCAAGTAGCAGGAGGCTCTGGTCACTGTCCTTTCCACTACTAATGCAGAGAGACTTCAGGCAGAGTCCTCTTTTGGGTATAGTTGGGGTATAAAGGGAAGATCATACAGCCTTTTGAGACTTGAGGGATGTACAGTCTCAGGACAGTGGAGGGATAGCTCCAGATAAACCAGCCAAAACGTGTGCTACTTTGTCTATGCTTTGAGTAGGGGAAGCAGAGTGCAGAGAGTTAGACACAGATTTACAGGCAAGGTGGAAAGAGAAGAAAAAAAAATGAGTCGTTTTGTAGCAATTGTTTCTCCCACTTCTTCCTCAATTGTATTTGCTTAGGCCATGACTATCTTTGATTTAGGGGTAGACCTTGTCATATTTGCTTCCAAGTAAGAGTTCTCACCATTTTGAGCTTTACATTTTTCAACATTTTCCTTAGTGGGGAAAAACAATGGGGTCCCATGTAGCTGGGGGCTTTGCAAAGTCAGACAGTGTGTCCCGGACACTTGGTTGTCTTGATCAGATGGTCTCACCAGGAAGTGTTTCTGAAGGTATTCCATTCCTCCATCCCAACTGTTGTCCCACTATCAGGAGCTGGCTAAGAGAAGGGACACCTGTCCAGTTGATAAGCTGGCAGATTTTGCTAAGGAAGGATTTAAAAAAATCACATTCTTCTTGTCACATTCTTCAGTGGAGGGGAAGCTGCCTTGAGTGTTGCTGATCCTCCATGTTCAGATTTGTGAACTAAGAGGAAAGGAGCATTCATCAGAGGCAAGATGGCTCTTATTTCTTTCTGGTATCCCTTAGGCCGTAGCAGATGACGTTTCACAATAGCAGACACAACTTTTTTCTCCGCACTTCTCAAAGAGTCCACCTAGAACTTGAAGATGAGACTGTACTTCTAAGATTGGAAGTAGCCTATCTGACTCTTAGCTTGCATGAAAAGTAATGATCAATCATGAGGGAAGTAAGAATAAGCAAGATTTAGGGAGCTCTGCCTCGTGAAGAAAGAAGAACTGGGTGCACTTTAAGTAGACCAGTGCTTCTCACCCAGTGAGATGCATCATCAGTATGCCTGAGATGTCAATCTCAGGCCTCAGGGTGGTCGGGCTGGGGTCTGGGGCAGGCGTCACAGCAGGCATTCTCATCTGTATGCCAAACAAATGCTTTTGTTTTCTATGCATACCATGATGTGAAAAAATGTTGGGAAACACTGTTCTAGATCATGGTTTCTCTGCATGCACAGTAATATGAATATGTGTGAATTGGGAATTTCATTGAAATGCAAGTTCAGATTCAGTAGTTGAAGATTTGGGCCTAAAAATTCCTTGTTTTTTTTTTAACAAGTTGCTGATCCTGGTCCAGGGACCTCACTTGAACTTGTGAGCACCTGGAGACTACATTTGTGGCTCTGAAACATTAGTATTCATGAGAATTACCTGAGGAATGTGAATAAAATGCTGCTTCCTGGGCTCCACTCTGCAGAGATTCTATGTGACAGTTGTGGGATGGGGCCCAGGAATGTGCATTTTTATGAGTGCCCACGTGATCATTATGCAGGTAGTCAGTTGTCAGGACTTTGAGAAACACTGCTCTAGGTCCCAATGAAATGACAACTAAGGAAGAAGACAGACTGATTAAACCTAGAAGAGGATTTCTCAGGGAGGAGAGAATGAGGGTCAGTGCCTTTCAATAGAAAATGATGGCAGTAGACCCAATGACAGGAAAAACACCGATTGTCATAAATGTCAAGGTTGTGCATTCCTCTCCAGCAGCGAGAGCATCTCTGTAGCCAGGAGACCTGCTTTGTGATTCCATTTTCAAATATCACTGCAGGTCTGAATCATGACTTTTGAAAGTTATTGCCAGGAGATTTAGAGTTTTAATAAAAATTTCAGGAAGCCACAAGCTATTTTTGTCCACAAGTGGCTCTTCTGATGATCTAATAAGGTTAAGAGGTCATGGTTAGGTCAGTATTGAAGAATGACTGAAAGGATCAAACAGACTACTTGTCCATCGCTGCTTAGATGTCCATTGCTGGCTGAGTGACCTTTGGCAAGTTTTTAAACCTCAGTTTCCTCATCTGTAAAATGGAGATAATAAAAAGATCTGCTTCAAAGCGTAGTTGAGAAGATTAGATGAGATTATTGCAACTTCACAAAATGCTTGCTGCATAGTAAGCTTAACAAGAATGTTCACTACTTATTAGCTATTATTTTAATGTCTTGAATTGGCATATTTGGATAACATAGTAAGGCAGCAATGGCAGATCATGTTGGGTAGCCGAGTGCATTATACATCCAATTTTTTCTGGGACAGAAGATTATGTGATCGTATTTGTCAGATCATGTGTCTTCACTTTTGATTGAAAACATATGTTCCCCACATGTCTAATCTAATAGATTTTTACAGAGTCATAGACCACACCCTAATCGTTGATTTATTATCTTGACTGGTCACGCGATTGTCCAAAGATGTTGATTGAAACTACGTAGGCTTCTGAGAAAGTATTTATAAATTCAAGAAACATTCATTGTGCAGGACTAGATGAGAGTCTACTAGATACAATGAACAACAAAACAAATCACTCCATGAGCCAGGCACTTGGAAAGGGCAGACAAGGAAACAGACCATAGTATTGTGAGCTAAGCACTAAGAGCTAGGAGCACCTAGGAGGAGTGGACATCCAATTCTTAGTGAGGCCAATGGCAGTTAGAGAAAGGATCCTAGGCAGGCAATGCCAGGATGAGTTCTGAAAGATGTGGAAGGGAACAGAGAAGGTGAAGGAAGAGCATTCCAGGCAGAAGTCCAAGCAATGGCACAAGGCAAGAAAGAGCATAAACCTGCTGCAGAGGACCTGGAATTCAAGGTAGGGGTAGGGAGATGTGGGCCAGTAAGGCTGGAGAGGCAAACAGGAGCAAGATTATAAAGGCTGGGGATGCCATGCTTTGGTGTTTGAGCTTTATCATAAAGTCTATAGTATGTCATGGGTCACCCTTAAGTGGGGGTGTTGGTGGTAGTGAGAGTGGTGGCAGTAGTGACCTGGTCAGACTTGTGCTTTTTGAAGATCACTCTGTCCCAAGTGTGGAGAGTGGATTGGAAGGGGGTGGGTACAGACTGGAGGACTGGAGAATAGTTTGGAGGTGGTATAGAAATCCAGGAGAGAATAGGGAAGGGCCTGAATAAAAGTAGTGACAATAGAGTTCAGGAGAAGATAATAAATTCACAAGCTAAAATTTAGGAGGTGGAATTCACAGCACTGGTTGGTTGTAAGGAGTAAGTGAGAAAGAGTAGACTAAGTGGCAAACCCAACTTTTTGTCTTATATAGCATGATACATGGCAAGTGCCAGGCACTGAGAGAGGGGCATAGGAGATCAATTCTCCAGTGGCAGCCCTCTTTGTAATTGAAAGGAAGCACTTTTAGATTTTGGCTCATTCATTCATATATACATCAACCTGTCCATCCTCCCATCCGTCCATCCATCCATCCATCCATCCATCCATCCATCCATCCATCCATCCACATCTATTGAGCCCTACCCTGAGCTAGGCACTGTATAAGGCCTAGAGATACATGATGAATAAGAAAGATAGAATCTCTATCCTCACAGAGCTGACATACTTTTAATATCTTCACCAAGATACTAGCATTTGACCTCTGACCCACAGGAGACTAGCTGTTCAAAAGCTAAGAGCTTTTATTTCTCCTGTTTTAACTCAAGCAAGTTTTAGTTAGAAGTGAATGCATTCTATTACCATGGCTCTTTGGTTTTGCACTCTGCTGAACATTTTACATATACTATCTCTTCCGATTCTCAGAACCTTATGAGGTAGGTACTATTGCTACAAATAAGGAAACTGAGACTTGGGAGGTAAGTAACTTGTCTATGGTAGCGAAGCAAGTAAGTACAGAGGGGTCACCCAACCCAGACTGTCTGACCCCAGAGCTGTGCTTTGCTACCCTGCAAGATGGTCTTAGCATGCTTTTGAGTATTGTGTGGTGTGGTGGGTGTGCTCCTATTATACTTACTAGACTGCTGTGGTTCTCCTTCACCAGGTTGTTAAATAAATGCACTTGGGGACTGGGGTGTTAGTGGTTGCATCACACCCTAGGAAATGCTGTCTGATGAAGAGTGCCAGGCCCTCACAGGTCCGGGGGAGTTCTAGAGGAGTTTCAATTGCATTTGCCACAGAAACCTCCTGGTCTTGAATTTATACAGCCTGAGAGGGTCAGGAAGACCAGAATTGACCCTTGGCAAAGCCATATGCTCCCAGGACACTCTGTACCTTTCCTTCTCTGAGGAATGGGCAGAGGCAGTGTGCCCTTGAACCAGCCCAAGCACAGAGTGGAACAGAGAAAACTGAGAACTGAGAGACAAACCTAAATTGCTCTTCAGGCACCTCCCACTGCAGGTTCAACATGGGCCATTTTCAGCTAGTCATTAAAACAGAGTGCAGTGTAGTCTAATGTAAAGACCCCAGAATGGAATCAAGGATCCCTGTGTTCAAATTCTGACTCTGCCCTTTATGGGTCATGTAACTTTGAGCAAATTTTTTTACTTTTCTGAGCCTCTTTACCCATAAAATGGGCTAAAGCTTAACACAGTGTTAAAAACATTAAATGAGACACGTAAAATCATCTAGAACCAATCTTGGTCTATAGAAGGCCCACATCTCCTATACACAT